GATCCCAACTGGGTTCCATTATTATATTCAGCACCTAGGAGTACCAAGCCCACATGGGAGATGTGGAGATGCAAGATCCACCTTGAAAGCGAGACACAAACCCAACTTCCACAGTAGACCCTAAGGACATATCAGGGGGGACACCATGGTTCCATCCAGTGTGAAAGCATGGAACTGGAGGGTCTTTTGGAGAGAAGGATCCAGGCATGAGGAGTCTGGGTAGGGGCACCACACAAGTGTGTTATGTGGGCTGGAAGGTCACTAGGGTTTCAAAAACAAGAAGTTTCCATGTATTCCTCCTTTTCCTTCACTACAACTTGTTGAGTGCCTGTGCCCAGGTTGGAGCCAGCCAGCTTGTAGAGAGGATGATGTGAGGATTGGAGGGAGGGGTCATGCTGGCCTGGGAAGTGGGGACTTTGAGAAGTCTGTTGGGACATAAGAGAGTTTGATCAGGGATGAAAATGCGGCACATCTCTTCCCCTCCAAACCCTATATGTTTCTTTCTAGCAATAAGGTCCTCTGCTCCTTGGATTCTGGGGCATGCTGGAAAAGCCATTAGAAGCCTTCAAAGGACTAATATCCTAGGGCTGTGGGCAGAATCAAACTTACCTCAAGAGAAGGGCTATCCTGGTATTAGAAAAGGAGGCCAGAGAAACTTCTGAAATGATGGGGTGAGGCTGGTTGTCTGCCAGGTGGGTGGACAGTCGGAGCCAGGGTGCCCGTGCAGCACTCAGAGCATCTGCCTCCCGACAGGTCCCAGAACCCAGATGACTACTGGATCCTGCTAGGGTACAACCGGATGACGGATCCCAGTAACTACAGCATGCAGATGGCAGTGAGCCAGCTCATTGTCCACCCAGACTTCGACAAGCATCATTTTTTAGGGAGTGACATCACCTTGATGAAGCTGCAGGTGCCTGTGAATTTCAACTCCCATGTCCTGCCTGCCTGTCTCCCAGACAGCTCCACAAAGCCGGACCCTAAGAGTTCCTGCTGGATAAGTGGCTGGGGGATGACAATTGATGAAACTGATCATGCAGGCAAGCAAAAGAGGGCAAGGGATTGGGAGACCATTGTAGGCCCTTCCTGTCCTTCTAAAACTTCACATATTCCTCAGTCTACTGTGAAAAAAACAAAACAAAACAAACAGAAAAAAAAGAGAAGGAAAACAAAACAAAAAATACCTCTTACTTTCAGAATCAGAAACTTGAGCTCTTTGACTCCAGAGCCATTCTCATTTCCAGGGCTCTGAACAGCCAGACTCCAAGGTTCTGATTTATCTTTCATGGCTATGGAAAGTGTTGAGAAAAGGACCTGTGTCTGGCTGAGACCAGCTGGGGCATTTATGACTGAAGGACATTTACCTCTCTGAACCTCACTGCTCATCGATGAGTGCAAGCAAAACTTGCCTATTCTGCCAGCTTCCGCAGGTTCCACATCTGTGGACTCAAACAATGGTGGATCCAAATCATTGGTGGGCCAGCCACGGTGGCCCATGCCTATAATCCCAGTGGCTCAGAAGGCTAAAGCAGGAGAATCATGAGTTCAAAACCACCTTCAGCAATTTAGTGAAACCCAGTCTCTAAATAAAAATTTAAAAGAGGCCAGGGTATGGTTCAAATACTCCTGGGTTCAATCCCCCCTACACACGCACACACACAAAATGGTGGGAGAAGAATGGGGGTTAGGTAATATGTATTTTCATTATTCTATAAACAATATAGTATAACAACTATTTACATAGAACTTACATTGTGTTAGGTATTACAAATAATCTAGGGATGATTTAGAGCATAACAAAGTATTAGTTCTATGCATATACTATACCTTTTTTTAATAAAGGACTTGAGCATTTGAAATTTTGGTATGGGATCCCTGCAGATACTGAAGGACGACTGTGTAGAGTTTTTGTTGTTGTTGTTGTGTTGTGTTGTTTTTTGTTTTTTGGTACTGGGGATTGAACTCAGGGACTCTCGGAACACTGAGCTACATGTCTACCCCAATTCTGAATTTTATTTAGAGATAGGGTCTCACTGTGTTGCTTAGTGCCTCGCCATTGCTGAGGCTGCCTTTCAACTTGCAATCCTCTTGCCTTAGCCTCCCGAGCCGCTGGGATTGCAGGCATGCACCACCACGCCAGGCTGACTGTGTAGTTTTATGTTGAGAGGGAGAATGTCAAGCAAAGATTTTTACACAAGAGTGAATGCTTTTGATTTAGGAAAATATACTGGTGAGTGAAAAAAAAAAAGCAAAATGTAAATTTGGCGTGATTCATAGGGTTACTATCTAGAAGAACATCTCTGCATAGGCTTTGGAGACAGGAACTTCTTTGGGGTTGAGGTCAGAATCATCATCCCTGGTCTTGGTCTCTAAATGTCAATCATGAGAATAGCTAACACTTCAACATTTCCAAGGACACCCTGCTGGGATGTATTGTCACATACTCCAAGAACCACTGGCAAAGCAAGGAGGATCTCCAAAATGGGTCTAGATAATAGTTGGAGCATGAAGGGAAGTCATGGGCTGGGGCAACCACGAGGGCACAGAGTAGCTGACATCAGCGGGCCCTCAGTGTCCTTTCTCCAGGCCCTCGCCTGACCACAGTTGCTTGGCCTGAACTCAGGTTTGAGATTTGCCACCCATCAGGGCCTTAGATAGCAAGCACTGTGCCAAGTAAGCCATCATCCTAGCATTGTGTTCCTAAGTGGGGACCCCAGGCCACATGTGTGAGTGACAACTGGAAATAGAATCCAGTTGTCCAAGTCCACTTGCTCCTTGAGATGGGGCCGGTCTTATTGGCACCCGTGATACATGCCACTGCTGCATCTTAGCCAGACTGAGAGTCTCAGTTCCCATATTTGCTGCCTCCAGCACTGTCTCCACAGCAGCCAGAAGTCTTGTTTCTGAAACATAAGTAAATGTTTCTATTATTTTGAAGTGTGCTTGGGATAAAATCCCAGTTCCACAGACTGGTGAGAAGGGCGCTGCCTATTCTGGGCCCTGCTATGATTGTGTCTCATCTTTTCAAGTCCCTGCTCTTGGGCCTTTGCAGTCACACTGACCTCTGTCCTGGTCCTTGCCACACAGACCCCTTACTGTGGCTCTTGAGAACACCTTTTCTCCTGGTCTTGCATTCAACAGGGGAGGCCTTCCCAGCCCCTGCCAGCTAGAATGGGCACCCTCCATCAGCAAGCAGGCGGGAGAGGGAGTTGGCTTTGCCCTGGGCTGCACCTCACATCTGAATCCTCTCCCACAGAATCACTGCCACCTGCCATAACACTTCAGGAGGCAGAGGTCAGTCTCTTAGACAATGAGGACTGTAACGCCTATTATAGATATTCAGACCCCAACGCAACTGGCTCAAAATCTGTTGGTGTATTTGACGACATGGTGTGTGCTGGGGACCCCATGAATGGAACATCCATCTGCCGGGTAAGTGAACTAACTCATAGTCTCCGGCTGGGCTCGGCCACCTCTCTGCTGCAGTGTTCCCTCCCCCTGGGTCTTCTTTGTACCTAGAGCCCCTAAAGAGCACCGTTAATATCCCATCCATTTTCTTTGTATCTTTTTTAAAAATGTTGTCAAAGTATAGCATGGAGAAAAGAGGAGATATAACTTGAACAGCATGATGAATTTTTAGAAAGGGATATATTCATATACCAGCACCCATAGGGTCCCACTCATTGCCCCTTCCTGTCAATAACTCCTCCAGAATAGCCCCCTCCTAGTTTATAAGGTGCTATGGCTTTGTTCTTAAACTTAACCTGAATGCAAATCAGATGTGATGAGGGCTTTTGCCTCTTAGTCACTAATATGCTAGTGACATTTGTCCATTCCACTGTGTAAGCACACATTTCTACTTATCCCTCCGTGTATTGGTGGAATTGGGGGCAGTTTCCATTTGGGCTCTCTGTGAATGTCATTGCTGTGAACGTCCTGTGTGTGTGAGCTTTAGGTCCCCATTTTGATTGGAGGTCACCCTGGTAGTGGATTGTTATTTCATGATTGTGTCCATTTACACTCCCATCAGCAGTGAGTGAGAGTTCAATTTGCTGCACGTTGCTCCCAATTACTCAGGATCATCCACTCTTTTCATTTTAACCACTGTATGTGATTTTTGATCTGCATCTGATAACTAATGAAGATAAATATTTTTATATGTCTATTACAAACTATTTTTCATATATTATTGCCTTTTTGTGAAGTGTGGGGGTCATCTGTCTTTTGTATTGAATCATAGGATCTCTTTATATATATTTGGATATGGGTCCATCATTGGATGCATGTATTATGAATGCTTTCTCTGTGTAAACTTTCCATTTTATAGTGAGGAAATTAAAGAGAGGACGTGGACAGCACTCTAAGGATGCATGGCCATAAGTTAAGCGTGAAGAGTCTCTGACCCCCTTGAGAGTTGTGTTCCCCCCACTACTGCAGCCTCCCCTCCCTCTTTTGCACTTTCCCTCTTGCTCTTGCTCTTTCCTGGCTGGCCCTGAAGCTCAGAAGTATTCTCACATGCTCACTTCCTGACCCCACAACCTCCTCCTGCTACTCAGTCCTCACTTCTCAGCAGGCCTCACCTCTGGCATTTTTGCATATGCTCTT